GCAGTGCGCTAATCTCGCGCTAGAATCTGGCGAAAGCACATCTGTGCCATGAAGTGAGCAGTTGGAGACCACCGCGACGCCTGGTAGGATGGGATGATTTCAAAATGTATTTGCTCTTCACTATCAATATTTTTTTTCTGGATGGCACTCCTCTTGTTTGGAGGTCACGGAGCAGCTTCCGTCTTGACTTGTCCCTATCCCGTTTATCCTTCCCGCCTCTGGGGGATAATCCCATCATATTTACGAGATGTGTCCAGTTTTGCTCTCCATCTCTTAATTTAGACCCTTGCATTCTTTGGCGCTCGCCCCTTTCCACCCCCCATCATCCTCCTCCGAATGCCGGCCTAATCTGTGGAGTGAATACGAATAGATGAGCGAGCGTAGTACAGTGTGAGTACAGTGGAGGGTGAGAGCCAGCCATGACCGAGCCATCTGCAGCCCTGGCTGGCATACAGCAAACTCGCCAACCTTCTTTATGCACACAGAGGGACACCAAGCACAGATCTCTGACCGCCACCCCCCGCTTCTCTTGATCTTGTATAGCACCCAAATCACCCCCGTACCCCTCACCCCAACCCCAAAAATATGCAGCAACCTTTCGACACAGTGTATAGCCTCCTTTTCATCTCTGCTTTCCTCACTTCTTCTTCATCAAGCGTTATCTTGTGCACACCCCGCAGTGAGGTCGTTGGCAGGAGATGAAAGGGAGGACTTTGGTGATGTGTTCTGCCGCCGCTGCCATATGCACGCGTGCAAGCATACAGTGGACTGTACCAGTCAGCAACCCGCCGCGTGCTGTTACGTTATCCCCCCAATGCACGGGCCGCTTCCTTGAGGTTAACGAGAATGTGGAATATTGTCATAATCGCAGCGTCTCGCCTCAACGAAGAAGGCTGCGGTGCAAACAGATGTTGACGGCAAGCTGCATGATACAAATTATGGTATGAAAGGTTCTATGTAATGCCTTGAAGGATTTACGTGCTAAAATTAGGCTAACATTTGATGCTATGGAGGCATAAAGACAAGATGCTAAAAAAAAAAAAAAATTATAATAAGTCATCTGCAACACTCCCTTTGTTTTTATTTATTTATTTATTTAACCAAAGAAAAAAAATGTCAAAAGCAGAAAACACTGGCCAGGAAATACTGTTTTATATGGTTTCCAATTCATTATCCTCCATTAAGCGAGATTATCATCAGAAAACATCGATACTGATATCACTGATCATAATGAAGTCCAACTCACAAAATCTATTGATCCATCCATTTTCTATATTGCGCGTGTCCTCGTTAGGGTGTCATTCTGGGTGTCATCCACATAACCTCCCCGTCAACAAAAGAAATATAAATGTCGTTTTTGAGGCGTTATGTCAATTTGAAAATACTTCCATCCTAGTTTTGTTAGCTGGTCTGCCCCGTTTTATATTGTGTGTTAGCATGAAGCTAGCGGATTTTCATAATTCATGTAGTTTGTTTGAATACAATACAGGGCAATGTGTAATTCTCTTTGTTTGATGTTCAAACTTGAACTCAAAACACACCTTGAAGTACAGTAAATGTGGAGACTCTATCAGGGATTGGCAACTTGGGACCTCTGACCACATTCTGAGTGGCTCCTTGACTAATCTCCCACCCGAAAACAATTTTGTTTTTTGTTTTTTTTTTTGTTTGTTTGTTTGTTTTGCAAACCTCAAGACGATGCTGATTAACATCTAGGAGCACTGATGAAAAATTGCAGTGCCCCAGCATTTAAGTGGCCCATCCCTTCATCTATATACTATATTTATTGAAATGCTCAAGCTTTTCTACAGTATTATATTATTTTGTGTCCTGTAATTCTGAACAAATGTATCATTATGATGAGAATTTCTAAAGCTCTCATTCTTCATTCTCTGTTGAATGTGTCCACAAATACTGCAGCCAGATTGTCATGATGCAAGCAACTGCTCGAGTAAAAAAATAAATAAATAAATAAATAAATTATGTTACCAAACAAACGATACTCCTCATGAGCTACGTCGCTGCCAAGGCTGCGACTCATCTCATGACTCATGCTGGTCAGGAGGAAACAAAAGAACTTTTTGAAGCAGACATCAGAGCAGGCAGGAGTTGAGGAAAAGTCAGACTTGCAGATTCTCAAAAGAGTCGCTTCTTCGTCTCCTTTCTTTGAGCTTCCGCTTTGTTCAATTTATCATGACGCAATTGGATTTCACCACAACTTATTTTAGTGCAGTTCTGTTGTGAATGCACATCAATATTTTATATTCATGTGTGTCTGTCAATTAAGTCATCCTATTTCATTACATTTTATTGAATTAAGATAAGATATATATATCTCACAATGGAGAAATTCCAATTATGTATCATTGTGTAATGAATCTAAGTATTTATAAAGTAAAATACTTGTATTGCCAATCATCCACTGTGCTGTCATTCCGATCCCATGAAAAATTACGATGAAAAAAAAAAGTCACTCAATTAATTCCCCCCTTAAGGAAATGCACCATTTATTTAACTTCTCCATGAAAGAAGGAGCAAATGAAGCCGCGATCGCAGGAACAACGATGGCAGGCTGCGAGCAGTATTACGACAACCAGAGGGAAAAGGCACAGTGCTGGTTGCCATGGTAAATATGCCCCCCTGCCGAGTGTGTGCACGGCTCTCCCCTCCCCCCTCTTCCTCTCCTCCTTCTCTCACTCTCTGCACTGGCTTTTCCTTTCCCGCCGCGCTGACCAATCCCCTTTCCCGACTTCCTTATCCCCATTTTCCTCATCTCTTTAAATCACCCCCCCGTATTTCCTTCATGCCACCCCGGCCTTCGATAAAGGCCGCAGACACTGTGCAGAGGCTGGCGTCCTTCGGTGCAAGATTATTGAAGTTCATCTGTTCATCATTGCCTCTCAAAGTATCATCCTTGTGACCGATATTAGAATACAACAGCATACTATACTTGCTGTAAGTGCTCATCAAAAATGAGGCGGAGGTTTTATTCCTAAAATGTATATTTGTCAGCCACTGCAATATTAGGCACCGTTTAAACATTGACACTGTGTTTCAAGACAGGAAAGTTAAAAAGTACTGAATTAATGAACTCATTTTACAATATTACCCTTCAGAACAAAATGGCTTCGATTTTGAAAAAAAATGCACTGGAATTGCCCATGTACATGTGGCGAAGACTGGGTGCCACTTCCACCAACATCCCTAATTAAACTTAAGATATTCCCCCTCATACAAAGATATTAGTGCAGATGTATCACTTTAACATACTTTTTTTTCGCACCAATTACTACTTTCCTTTTGGTTAGGCCTTCGGCACATTTTTGTGACATCTTTGGGCAATTTTTGTAGTGATTGTCTTCATTAGGATCAGGAATTAAATAAATAGCTGAATACTGGTATTTGCGTTGTCCTTTTTTGTTTTGTTTTGTTTTTGTTTTTTTAACGTTTCAAACTATGTTGTTGTCCATCTGGCCGGCGAAGAATTTCATTGTATCAAGGAACAATTTTTTACTTTCAATGTTTCATCTGAATCTGTGCAATACTGTTAGAGTCCCACAATACTCTCCTTATCAAATATTTGCTTTTCAGTCATTTATTAGGTCTTCGTGTGCTAGCGTTATAGTGTAAGATTGTTTCAATGAATAATTGATGTGCACGAGACAATAACCGGGAAAAAAAAAAAGCTGAGGTTGTTATTAGTGGAAGCAGTGTTGTTGTTGTCAAAACAGATGCTAAGTGCACCTGCCTCCTAACACCTCTGCCTGCTCCTAATGATGCTCTTAAAGCAACACTGACACTGTTTTGTTTTTCCATGACAAGATTCAGAGCAAATATGTCACTTTTTTAGTGTGTAACTACGGGAGCTCCTTTAACCTTAAACAGATCACGATTGCGCAGCCTTGCCTTTAGACATGCAACCTTACATCATCCACTAGATTAGCCGTGACATTCGCTGTCACCGCAGAGGCCTCGTGTGAAGTATTACAACAAATCATCATAGTGGCCCCGCCTCAGTAATGCATACGAAATTCATTATTTGCTTTTGGGAAATGACAGGACAATATGTTGAAAGATAGCATTTCTAGCCAGACCTGACTTGGAGTCCAATGTGTTCAACTTTCATATTATACATGAAATACTCTGAAAAATGGAAGGGGTGTGCAACCAATGTTTGTTTGTACTACATATGGCTAGCCATAACATCAAACCAGAAATAAATGAAGCTCTCGTCTCAATTTATGCACTAACGTACATAGTCTAGAAAATCTAGGCCTGCTACCATTTTATCTTATCTGCCTGTCACTATATGTTACTGGTATAGATAAAAAAGAAATATGCAAGATATTAATCATTTAGGACCAAACGTCACATAAAATTTGATTAATGTCCCCCCGATTTAATGCAATGCTACATCTATCATGATCATTTTGAGTGCCCCGCTCCCTTCTGATTCAATTGACTATTCCTTCTTCTTATTGAGCATGTGCAAACTTCATTCAGAGTTTAACAAAACAACTTTGTTGGGCGCATTATAAGAAAAAAAAATGGAGAGATCCCAGTGTAGCGGAGAATAGAAGGTAAACAGAAAACAATCAGTTTTTATCAAAACTACCAGGTTGCAACTGGACAATGGCAAAAGCAGTTCTTATCAATAAAATTAAAAGCATTGAGATGATTCTCTCAGTAAATCAAAAATATTATTCAGGGATTTTAAGGACTTTCGCTAGCTCAGGAAATGGGTCAATTGTCTCAAATTCACACATATTAGTTGACGATAAACATTATTATTAAAATATTTTGTAGTCCGTGCACGTTGATTGTTTCCTTTGAGCTGACAAATCATAGGCTATGCGTCTCTGCTCTGTAGAGAATTTCACAAACACTCACACACACAAAAAAAAAATCTCCAACATGAACCCAATGAACCACGCATGGAGCGGGCAGTCCCTTCAGAGTATGACCGGTTATGGGTGCGCTCGCGCCGGGAAATGACTGACCTGTGAGGCTGTCGTAGCACTCGATCTCGGTGCTCTCCACGGCTCTCCGCTGCTCCTCCGTGAGCTTGGCGGCATCTTGTTGGCTCAGCAGGTTGACTTCGGAGCCGCCGGTCGTCCCGTCGGCTACGTGGACCCCTTTGAGCTGCAGGAGCGCCCGATGATATTTGCCGATCGCCTCTCGGAATTTCTTCTCCTTATAGCAGCGGTGGCCCTCCGCCTTGAAGTCGACGGCTTTCTGAATCTTCGTCTCCATCTCCGTTTCCGTTGAGACGCCGACTCGGCAACCGCCTGCCTCTCCTCCGTCTCCTCCTCCGCCACCGGCAGCCGCTGCCAGACTCCGGCCGCCGGTCTCCGGATAGCTTTTGAGGCTCTTTATCGGGTGTTGCTTGGTTTCCATGCTGCCTAGTGAGCGGGGCTGGAGGGGACCATGGTGCTCGGAGGACTGAAGCACCGTGCTGTGCATAAAGGATGCGGTTCGGCTACTTCGTAGGCTAAGACCCGCCACGAAAGAATTTGCCGCGATGTAAAAGTTGTACGAACGTCAAATGGTTATTTAGACCCAAATACGACGGTGAGTGGTGGAGACATTGTCGGAATTCGCCGAAGAAAGCTAGCTCGGTTGCGAGAGTAACGATGCTCGCGGGGGATGCTCGTAGCAACAACTGAAGCACGAGCAGTTTCAGCACCATAGACACGCGACCGCCTCTGCCGCAAAGCATTGTGGGAAACGGAGTCCTTATCGTGACGAAATATTCAAACGGAACACTGTACAAATCCATAATGCGGATGCGGCCCAAACTGTGATTTAAAAAATCTAGTGAGCCTTTACATTTTATTATTCATTATACTTTTGGGAGGGGGAATCCCTAGCTTATCTTAGAAAATATTTACTTAAAACATAAATTCAACAAGCGATTTATATATGTCAAACAAATATTTGAAGTGGAATCACGAGCCGTTTTATTTGCACTTAAAAAAACAACAAAGACTTGTACAAATGCTCTTTCTAAGTGAATGCGTTTTCTTTGTAGTGTAGTCTATCTATATATCCATCTACCGATCTTCCTATCATGAACCAATTATTTAATAAAATGGCTTTTAAAAAAACAAGTTCAAATATATTCTCTAAATGGTTGTTTGACATTTTTATTTTATTATTGACAACCAATTACTCAATTTTATAGTAAATGAAAAAAAAATTAACTTGACGAGGGAAAGCTACATTAATGCAAGAAATATTGCAGTGGTCTAATGTAACCATCCCAGATTCATATGTGAGTCTCTTGAAAAATATTAACAATGGTGTTACGTTAAATACGTTTAAATAATGTTTCAGAATTTAAATAACGATATAGATAAATGTTTGCTACCCGGCTTAGTTTTTTACGGTGAC